ACTTATTTATTAAGTTTCGCATTCTAAAATTTTCGTGCAAATTCTAAATTTAAACTAAATCATGTATATTCATCAAAATTATGTACAATTTAATACAACAAAATATAATATAAAAAAAGCATCTTAATATAGGACACAACTCTACATGCTCTTTATTAATTTGTTTGTTCAGTACTCTAGCAAAGTCACCGAACACCCAATTAATAAATCATGCTTGCATGTCTAACTACTTATTTTCTATACAACTGCTATTTTTAATTCTCAAAAATATCAAAATACCTTTTATAATTTAGCATACTGAAAAAAAAAGAGAATTATATAAATATTTTTTTTTTTGAATATGATCTTGACATAAAAAAAAAAGTATTATTATAAAATTATTTTTCATTATTTCATTTTTTATTTTATTATTAAAAAAAAAAAAATTAATTTTTTTTTGTCTTTTGTATGGATTAGTGCGGAGTGTATATTTTCATATTAAGTTAAAAAGTAATGTTAAAAAAATTACATTTGTGGAGTTTGTATAAATTAATCTAAAAAAAAATAATTAATTAATAGGTAGCATATGATGCTGATTAATACCAATAAAGATTTTAATATAAAATTTTAATTCAATTAAAAATAAATTAAATAAAGTTTACTCTATATGTTCTTTATGAATTTGTTTGTCTGATACTAACGAAGATATTGAACATGCAATTAATAAATCATCTTCTCTAAGAAAAAGAAAAATTTTCTTTTTAAATAAAAAAATACAAAAAAATAAAGTCATCCTCATTTTTTTTTTATTACAATTAAGTCGTCGTCATATACCAAAGAAAAAAATATATATGGTATTTTATTTATATAATAATTGTAAATATACAAACGAACAAAAAAAAAAATAATTATTATTTATTTATTTTTAGTGTATTCACTTTTGGTGCAAGTGTATTTTTTTTTTTAGTATACATATTTTATTTGAATAACTATTTTAGTGTACGTATTTATGATTGCATATTATCCCCGTAATTCGTCATGCACAAAATAAAATGTTTTTATTATATATATTCACCTAAATATTTTACAAAAGAGGTTTGTAGCATTATTTATAGACAAATTAATTAAAAATGAAATTTTTTTGAAAAAGATTGAATTAATATGAAAGTACTAAACATAAAACAGTGTTGCATTGAAAAGCAAAAAGGAAGAGAAAAATAAAAATATAATAGTAGTAAATCAAAAGAGCTTATACGAAAAAGAAATAAATTTAATAATGTATTTAATGATAGATAGTTAAATAAAACAACAGAGCAATAAGAACATATAGAAGAAATAAGAAAAAGAGAATCATCTTTTAATACATTACAAAGATATAAAAATAATAAAAGGTTTTAGGTAAATGTAAAAAAGATAGTTTAAATTAACGGAATGAAGATACTTGTTTTTTTTAGACACATGGTTAACAAATGGGATTAAACTTATAGAGAATTAAAGGTATTAGTTGTATGAAAAATAAATAGTTAGTCATTCAAGCGTTAAATAAAAAAAAAAAATTAGTTAATTTTTTTTTTTTATTTTTGTAAATTTAAAATATAAATATAAAAATACATTTTGTTTTTATTATAAAATGATTTTTGTTCAAAAAATAAGAATTGTTGGCAAAAAGGTTTTTTGTAGTATGATTTGTTTAAATTTATATAAGAAAATTTTATATTTATGATAATAAAATTTTCATGTATTGTAGTATTTATATATAATTTATTCTGTGCTTTGTTAATTATTAATGTTTATTAATTTGAGAGGAATATATTTGAATTTCTAAAAACTATTTGTGCTATTATAAATAATAAATATATAATGAAAATAAATAATTAATGATTTAAATTTTTAATAAAAATATAAGATTTTTATTAATATAAATAAATGTCTTTTAATAATAACAAATGCTCAATGAAATAGGCTATTCATATATAAAAAATTTACCTGTTTGTAGCATTAAAATCATATATAAACACATTAAATTAGTAAATCTCGACGTGCTCTTTATTAATTTTTTTGTTGAATATTCTAAAAAATTGATTGAATAGAAAATCAATAAATCAAGATATTAGTAAAAATTTTATAAAAAAATATTACATATGAATTTTCATTTTTAAAGAAAAAATAATTTTATTTTTATAATTTCTTTTCGGTACATGTGTAAACGTAACAATTTTTAATAGTTTTGTGTGGAAACNGTCATTTTTAGTAAAAAACTATATATTAACTTAATAAAAAGAAATAAAATAAAATAAAATAAATTATTAAAATTAATAAAAATTTTATAACTATTTATTTGAAACTTATAGAGAATTAAAGGTATTAGTTGTATGAAAAATAAATAGTTAGTCATTCAAGCGTTAAATAAAAAAAAAAAATTAGTTAATTTTTTTTTTTTATTTTTGTAAATTTAAAATATAAATATAAAAATACATTTTGTTTTTATTATAAAATGATTTTTGTTCAAAAAATAAGAATTGTTGGCAAAAAGGTTTTTTGTAGTATGATTTGTTTAAATTTATATAAGAAAATTTTATATTTATGATAATAAAATTTTCATGTATTGTAGTATTTATATATAATTTATTCTGTGCTTTGTTAATTATTAATGTTTATTAATTTGAGAGGAATATATTTGAATTTCTAAAAACTATTTGTGCTATTATAAATAATAAATATATAATGAAAATAAATAATTAATGATTTAAATTTTTAATAAAAATATAAGATTTTTATTAATATAAATAAATGTCTTTTAATAATAACAAATGCTCAATGAAATAGGCTATTCATATATAAAAAATTTACCTGTTTGTAGCATTAAAATCATATATAAACACATTAAATTAGTAAATCTCGACGTGCTCTTTATTAATTTTTTTGTTGAATATTCTAAAAAATTGATTGAATAGAAAATCAATAAATCAAGATATTAGTAAAAATTTTATAAAAAAATATTACATATGAATTTTCATTTTTAAAGAAAAAATAATTTTATTTTTATAATTTCTTTTCGGTACATGTGTAAACGTAACAATTTTTAATAGTTTTGTGTGGAAACTACTAATAAGTATGTTAAAAACTGTTAATTTAATAATAGATGTGTGGTTAACAATGGGAATTATTAATTTTTATTGAGAATTAAAATATCTAACTGTTTGGAAAATATGAAGTTAGACATGAAAGCACTAGATAAATAAAAAAAAAAATTTTATGGTTGGGAAAAAATAATGTTCGAAAGAAATGAAAAATAATTTATTTTTGAGAGGGTTTCTTTGCAATTAATTTTTATTTTTAGTTTCTTTTTTATGAATAAATTTTACATACATAATAATAAAATATACATGTTTGTAGCATCTATATAATTAAATTGTATCTCATTAATTATTTATGTTAGCTAACATGGAATCAGCAGACTTGAATTTCTTAAAATTATGCACAACATTATGAGTTAAAATATATTTCGTTAAGATCTATATTTCATGAGGATATGGATTCTTAAATAAGGCTTTTTATTAAAGTAAATAAATGTCTATTGAAAATAAAGAATGCTCAGCAAAGTAGATTACATAAATACAGTTATTTAATATAATTTAAAATTATACATAATTTCATTATATTCGTAGAAATAATTTTACATGCTTTTTATTAATATGTTTATCTAGTGCTCTAGCAAAACCACCGAATAGGCAATTAACGATCCAATACATTAAATTTATTATAAATTGATATTTATATAATAAGTATATAATAACTTACATAAACTACTTTTACAATAAAATGAATAAGTACATATCACTTTGCATACTCAATTAATTTGACTATCTAAATCATTGTAAATTACATTAAATAGATAATTAATAAATTACATCATTGAATAGAGTATTAAAAAATCATTACGCTAAAAAAAAAAACTAACATATTATATTTATTTTTTTTGTATGTGTATTTAAAATCATAAAAAATAATATTTTATTTTTTTTTAGTTTTATAATCCTGGAAATAAGGAAATTTTTTTAAAAAAGAAATCGTGATAGTTTTATTTTTTAATAAAAAAAAAAGTTTCTTAATAAAAAAAAATAATTTTTTCTTTTCATAATGCGATGTATATTATTTTTTTTTTTCATTAATGATTCAAAAATCTAATGTTAAATATTACATATATATGGAATAAATTAACTTAAATAATAAATAAAAGAGCTAAAAATAAATAATAATGTGAATAAATGAATTATATATTAATTTATTTTATTCTTAATAAAGTAATATTGTTAATTTCTACATATTTTTTATTAATCTTTTTTTTAAATACTAGGAAAGTTATTGAACAAGAAATTAACAAATCAATATTCTAATGAAATCATTGAACAGACAATTAATAAATGAATAACATCTAAAAATATTTAAATTTATTTATTAATAAATATTCAAGAAGATGAACAATAAAATTTATTGATCATTTCTAGAATTTTTTATATTGTTTCACGCATTTTTTCAGCTTCTTAATTTCTATATTTTTTTTTATGCTTTATTTACATATTTTTATTATTGTTTTGTGCCCACATTCTACGAATATCTCCCCAATGTTTTTTCCATATAATATTGTTCCTTTCTAACACTAATTTTTTTACTATATTTTCGTTCTTTTATACTAACATTTCTTCAATTATTTCCCTCATAATTTTTTTTTCATTATTTTTATCATTTCTAACACTAACTATACAAATCATTTTTTTTTTCCTTTTTTCTATTTCCTCTTTTTTTCTCTAATATATAATTTCAACTACCTTCTTCCTCTATTTTTTAAATATATTTGCTTCTTCATCAAAATTTTCTTGTATTCTTAAATCTTTCATAATTGCTTTAAAAAATTCATCCTTTTCTCTTTCCCTTTCTACTTTTTTACATTCCTCTAATACCATCATATGTATTTCTATCAACAAATTTTGTATTAACTTTTTCTTTTTTCTAGATTTCCTCATTTCATTGTTTTCATCTCGTTCTAACTCCTGCATGTTTTCATGAAAATCCTTAACTTTTCTCGCATTTATTTTAGTTGTTCCTTCCTTACATTCTTCTTTTTCATATTCGGCTAATAAATCATTAAACCATTTGTCCTCACTATGTTCTATAAACCACATTCTTTGTTTTTTTAGCCATTGTTTCCATATTCTTTTTTGTTTCTCTAGCATAGGATTTTTTCCTACTCTTATTTCTTCAATTTCTAATTCATTTGTTACTTCTTTATATTTTTCTTGTTCTTGTAACCATTCTTTTTTCAAATTAATAAACCATTCTTCTTTTTTCCATTTCTTTAACATACTTTTATTTCTGTCTAACCATTTTTTCCATACAAGTTTTTGCTTCTCTATCATTATTGAACTAATATCATCTTCCCTTTTACTTATCATTACTAAATCATTTTCTATTATTTTTGGATATTTTTCTTTTTCTTCTTTTTTAAATTCCTCTAAACAGGCTTCTAAAAAATTTCCTCTATTAAGAAACCACTCCTCTTTTTTACATTCTTCTAATACAATCATGTGTATTTCTACTATAGTCTTCCACTTTATTTTTTTTTTGTTTATTATTGAATTAATATTTTCATCTATATCTTCTAGATGAGTCTTTTCATATTTCCTTATTTTTTCTTTTCCTTTTCTATTGATCTCTACTATTGGCTCAAATCTTTCTGTATTTTCCTCTTTCTTTTCTATATTCTTTTTAGTAATTTCACTTCTATATTCATTCTCTTTACTTTCAACTTCATCAACCAATTTTGTAAACCATTCTTCTTTGTTATCACTTTCTATCCATTTTTTACGAATATCTTCCCAATGTTTTTTCAATATAATTTTCTGCCTTTCTAAAGCAATATTTGTTATTCTTTCTTCATTTTTTTTTTCCAACATTTTATTGCTTAATTCTTCTATATTTTTCTGTTCGTTATATTTCCATTCTAACATTAACTCTACAAACCATTTTTCTCTTTTCCATATTTCTATATCCTCTTTTTTTTTTTCTAATAAAGAATTCCAATTTCTTTCTTCTTTTATTTTTTCTAATATATTTAATTCTTCATGTAAATTTTCTTGTATTTTCATTTCATTCCTAATTATATTAAAAAAACCTTCTATTTCTTCTTTCATCTCTTCTTTTTTACATTCCTCTAATACCATCATATGTATTTCTATTAACACTTTTTGTATCAACTTTTTCTTTTTTCTAGATTTCTCTATTTCCTCACTTTTTTCTTGTTCTAACTCCTTTATATTTTTATGAATTTCCTTTATTTTCTTCACATCACTTATAGTTAATTCTTTCTCATATTCTTCCTCTTTTTTATATTCATCTAACAAATCATTAAACCATTTGTCCTCACTATGTTCTATAAACCACATTCTTTGTTTTTTTAGCCATTGTTTCCATATTCTTTTTTGTTTCTCTAGCATAGGATTTTTTCCTGCTTCTATTTCTATGGTTTCTGATTCTTTTGTTAATTCCTCATATTCTTCTNGATAATTTTTATATTTATTTAAATTCCTTTTTTTTATCAGATTTTTATTGTCATATATTTCAAATTATTTACCTGAAAAAGGTAGTTCACATTTTTTTTAAAAAAAAAAAAAAAAAAAAAAAAAAAAAAAAAAAAAAAATTGCAAAAGTTAAATATCCTTAGAAATAATGAGCTTAAAAAAAAAATTAGCAAATATGTAAAAGCTAAAACACATTTAGAGAAATTTTAATATGGTTGTAAAACCCAAAGTATATTCAGATTAAAGGAGCTATTTATATAATAATAAACTAAGAAAAAAAAATTTATAAAATATATAATTATTAATTTTCTTGAAACAATTTAAAAAAATAAAAATATAAAATCATGTATTGAAAAAAAGAGTAGCTCATGTAAATGTATATTAAGAAAAGCTTTTATTAGATTATAGAACAAATACAATAAGAAAATGTTCTAATAAGTATATCTTATATACTCTTTAAAAATATTTCAAATTTTTTAAATACCTCAAATCTATAGTTTTCTTAAGCACTTTTTTTATAGGTAGTTTTTTTTTTTTTAAAAAAATTTTTAGAATTGTAATTTAAGACTTTCTATTAGTATAATAAAATACTAATAATTAATATTTTATTTATTCTTTGTTATAAACAAATGTTACAACCTATATTCTCTAAAATTTTGATTTTTTCTTATATATTTTTTTAGCTCAACTTAAAGCTACTTTCGTGCATTTTTATTTACTCCTTTTATCACATTTATTTTTACCTTTTTTATTTTTATTTTTTTTTTTTTTTGTATTTTTTTTAATGTTTTTTTTTTTTTTTTTTTTACTAGATTTCCTCATTTCATTGTTTTCATCTCGTTCTAACTCCTGCATGTTTTCATGAAAATCCTTAACTTTTCTCGCATTTATTTTAGTTGTTCCTTCCTTACATTCTTCTTTTTCATATTCGGCTAATAAATCATTAAACCATTTGTCCTCACTATGTTCTATAAACCACATTCTTTGTTTTTTTAGCCATTGTTTCCATATTCTTTTTTGTTTCTCTAGCATAGGATTTTTTCCTACTCTTATTTCTTCAATTTCTAATTCATTTGTTACTTCTTTATATTTTTCTTGTTCTTGTAACCATTCTTTTTTCAAATTAATAAACCATTCTTCTTTTTTCCATTTCTTTAACATACTTTTATTTCTGTCTAACCATTTTTTCCATACAAGTTTTTGCTTCTCTATCATTATTGAACTAATATCATCTTCCCTTTTACTTATCATTACTAAATCATTTTCTATTATTTTTGGATATTTTTCTTTTTCTTCTTTTTTAAATTCCTCTAAACAGGCTTCTAAAAAATTTCCTCTATTAAGAAACCACTCCTCTTTTTTACATTCTTCTAATACAATCATGTGTATTTCTACTATAGTCTTCCACTTTATTTTTTTTTTGTTTATTATTGAATTAATATTTTCATCTATATCTTCTAGATGAGTCTTTTCATATTTCCTTATTTTTTCTTTTCCTTTTCTATTGATCTCTACTATTGGCTCAAATCTTTCTGTATTTTCCTCTTTCTTTTCTATATTCTTTTTAGTAATTTCACTTCTATATTCATTCTCTTTACTTTCAACTTCATCAACCAATTTTGTAAACCATTCTTCTTTGTTATCACTTTCTATCCATTTTTTACGAATATCTTCCCAATGTTTTTTCAATATAATTTTCTGCCTTTCTAAAGCAATATTTGTTATTCTTTCTTCATTTTTTTTTTCCAACATTTTATTGCTTAATTCTTCTATATTTTTCTGTTCGTTATATTTCCATTCTAACATTAACTCTACAAACCATTTTTCTCTTTTCCATATTTCTATATCCTCTTTTTTTTTTTCTAATAAAGAATTCCAATTTCTTTCTTCTTTTATTTTTTCTAATATATTTAATTCTTCATGTAAATTTTCTTGTATTTTCATTTCATTCCTAATTATATTAAAAAAACCTTCTATTTCTTCTTTCATCTCTTCTTTTTTACATTCCTCTAATACCATCATATGTATTTCTATTAACACTTTTTGTATCAACTTTTTCTTTTTTCTAGATTTCTCTATTTCCTCACTTTTTTCTTGTTCTAACTCCTTTATATTTTTATGAATTTCCTTTATTTTCTTCACATCACTTATAGTTAATTCTTTCTCATATTCTTCCTCTTTTTTATATTCATCTAACAAATCATTAAACCATTTGTCCTCACTATGTTCTATAAACCACATTCTTTGTTTTTTTAGCCATTGTTTCCATATTTTCTTTTGTTTTTCTAACATAAGATTTTCTCCTGCATTAATCTGTATTATTTCTGATTCATTTATTGTTTCTCCGTAACTTTTTTGTTCATTTTCCCATTCTTTTTTTAAATTAATAAACCATTCTTCTCTTTTCCATTTCTTTAGCATACTATTATTTCTTTCTACCCATTTTTTCCATAGACGTTTTTGTTTCTCTATCATTATTGAACTAATATCATCTTCCCCTTTACTTATCATTACTAAATCGTTTTCTATTATTTTTGGATATTTTTCTTTTTCTTCTTTTTTAAATTCTTCTAAGCAGGATTCTAAAAATTTTCCTCTATTCAACATCCACTCCTCTTTTTTACATTCCTCTAATACAATCATATGTATTTCTACTATAGTCTTCCACATTAATTTTTTTTTCATCATTATAGAATTAATCTTTTCGTCTGTATCTTCTAGATAACCCTTTTCATATTTCCTTATTTTTTCTTTTCCTTTTCTATTGATCTCTACTATTGGCTCAAATCTTTCTATATTTTCCTCTTTCTTTTCTATATTCTTTTTAGTAATTTCACTTCTATATTCATTCTCTTTACTTTCAACTTCATCAACCAATTTTGTAAACCATTCTTCTTTGTTATCATTTTCTATCCACTTTTTACGAATATCATCCCAATGTTTTTTCCATAAAATTTTCTGCCTTTCTAAAGCAATATTTGTTAATCTTTCCTGATTTTTTTTTTCCAGCATTTTTTTATTTAATTCTTCTAAATATTTCTGTTCGTTATCATTCCATTCTAGCATTAGCTCTACAAACCATTTTTCTCTTTTCCATTTTTCTATATCCTCTTTTTTTTTTTCTAATAAACAATTCCAACTTCTTTCTTCTTCTATATTTTTTAATATATTTACTTCTTCATCTAAATTTCTTTGTATTCCTAATCTTTCTGTGTTTGTTTTAAATAATTCATCTTTTTCTCTTTCCAATTCTTCCTTTTTACATTCCTCTAATACCATCATATATATATCTATTAACATTTTTTGTGTCAATTTTTTCTTCATTTCATCTTTATCTATTTCATTATTTATTTCATTCTCTTGTATTTTTACACTTATTTTTTCAATTTTTTCATCCATTATATTTTTATAAATTCCAACCTTTTCATATTCGTCCAATAACTTCATAAACCAATCCTGCTTTTTATATTCATTTAAATGTTCTTTTTGCTTTTCTAACCACTTCCTCCATGCCTTTTTTTTTTTTTCTAACATTAGATTACTTATTCCTTCTACTGTTAAATTTTCAATTTCATATTCTTCTAAATATTCTAAAAGTTTTTCTTCTTCATTCTTCCATTCTTTTTTTAAATTAATGAACCATTCTTCTTTTTTCCATTTATCTAGGATACTGCTATTTTTTTCTGTCACAATTATACTATTTCCTTCTTCTCTTTCCTTTATTAAATTATTGCCAGATTCTTTTAGATAAGTAGTTTTTTCGTCTTTCTCAAACACTTCTATGCAAATTCTTAAAAATTCATTTTTAATCAATTGCCATTCTTCTTTTTTATGCTCTAGTAATGTTATAATATATGCATTTTTCCTTGTATTCCAGTTGCAAACTTCACTCTTGATTGACATTTGATTGTCTGAATTTTTAATTTCCTTTTCATACATAGAATTTTCAGTTTTTACATTTATTTCTTCATCATTTAATGTATTATTCCAACAATATCCTACAACATGAACTGAATCTTTTGCTAATCCATTTTTAATTGATTTTTTTTTTCTAATTTTATTTGTACATTTATTTACATCCAATTCATCTTCTTCAATTTCATTTTTAGGATCACCTTCATTTAATTTATCTTCTTTTATTGGAAGTTCATTTTTTAACATTGATAATTCTACAATTTCACCAGTGTGTTTATATTCACTTTTCTTGAATTTTTTAGTCTGTCTATATTTCAAATTTTGTTCACTTTCAAAACTAATCTCACATAGTGGTAAATGATTTTCTTGGTGCAACAACGAATATTTTCCACTATTTATTGGTTCATTCTTTAAATCACTTGACATTAGTATTGGTTCCTTTGAAATTTTCTTAATCTTTTTTTTTACTTTTTTTTTTTTTGATCTACGATTGCGTAACCAAGATCCAATAGGAGTGCACTATAATTCAAATTAAAAATTAAACAATTATAAAAATTTTCTTAAAAAATTTAGTATTTTAAACTTATATATTTTTTCATTTTTAATTATTATTTATATCTTACTCTGTAGATGAGAATTAATAGGAGAATAATACCTAAAAGGATTATACCTATTGGAGCGATTGTTATTAACACATTTCCTGTAGGTTTAACTGTAGGTGTAACTTCATTATTATTTTTCATTGGGGGTTGCAAGGTAGATTTATTTAAAAAAGCGGTACTTGAAGGAATGGCAATTACATTATTTCCTATTGTACTATTTTGAGTTGTATTTAAAGGTATAATTTGCCTATCTTGTATGAAAGAGGCTGGTGTATTTTGTAGATTTTGTGTTATGGGATTATTTGTTTCCAATGATGCTATACCACTATGTGTTATAGGAGAATCAATTATTGTGCTAGGAGGTGGATTTGCAACTGGAAATGATAATGATTTAGATGGGGTAACAGAATGTGCAGTTGTATTATTTGAAAATATAGATTTATTTGTGAAAAATTCAGTTTTATTTTTAGGAGTAGGTACAGTCGTATGAGGTGTAGAACTATATGGAAAAGATGTAGTGTCATTAGAAGAAGATGTAGCTTCCGAAGGAGATAAGGATGTAGGAAATGTACTACTAATTTTGGAAACATTAGGACTAGTTGGAGAATGAATAGTGTTATCTGTTAAATGAGATTCAGAGTCATTTGTAGATGGTGAAGCAATAATAGCAGGAGAACTTGTATAGCTATCTGCATTAGGTAATGATTTATTTAAAGAACGTGATGTAGTACAATTTTCATTAGTTTCATTGATATTTTTAGTAGGTGAAAGTCCATGCTCAGTTTCGAAAAACGTTGTACTATCCGGAGAAGGCTGAATACTAACTGTAGGTTTAGTGCTATTTTCTGAAAAATGTGTATTATCACTTACAGAAGATCCCTTGGTACTTATAGTAGAATCTGAAGGTGAAGATTCAATTGTATATGAGTTATTTTGAGGTGTAGTATCTGTGGATAATAAATTAGATTGTGTTATAACTTTTGAAGAAGTTGTGGTTATAGCTTGTAGTGCAGATTGGTCATCTGCTGTTGATGGCTTTATAGTAATACTTAAGGGTGTATTTGTAGTTTTATTATTATTTAAACTACTAAATATACCTGTATTGTTATCTGTTGAATTCGTTGCAGCAACATTATATGAAACATTGTGAATTCCATTTATAGATTGCAAGTTATCTGGTAATGGAGTTGCAACACCTGAAGTTTGATTAGATCCATTAATATTGTTATCTGAATGAACCCATGCTAAATCATATGGATTATTTGAACTTTCTCTCCCTTTAATTTTATGAATTAACTCTGTCATATTACATTGATTACTTGTCTGATCTAATGTATAAGCTTCCAAATTCCCACTAAAAGTATTCCATGTATTAATAGAATCTTGTACATAAGGTTCATCGGAATTAATTTCATTTGTCATCATATTAACATATAGCTTCCCTCTCTTATATATATACATGCTCCACTTTGCACAATTAAGTTTAGATCTATCTTTATCATATGCATTGAAATAGTAATCAGATATACCATAAGTAACATTGTGAAACTTATGCTGTCTTTGCTCAATAATTTGAGTTTTATTATTAAAATAAATATCTTCATTGAGTTCATTGTATGTTAATGATGTGCTTATTGGTAGATCTTTATTTTCATAAGGGATAGTGCAGTTATTATTTTTATTTAAAAGAGGACAATAATGAAACTTTCCAATATTACATGTTGAATTTGTTTCTGTAAGTATATGTGTTTCAAAAGAATTTTGTTTTTTATTCCAATCTTCAACGAGGCATGAGATATTATAATTTTTTTTTTTACTCAATAGCAAATTAACATAATCCATGCCTCTCCAATCTATGTATGTAGACACCTTTTGACATTTTTCTGTGGAATTAGTAATTTTACCATCTTGAAGATAAAATTCAAATTCATTATAAGTATCATTCATAAATGTTTGAATTTCTGTCTTGAGAGGAATTGTATCATCGGATAAATTAGCAATGCTTTCTGTTGCATTTATTTGATTTGATATGCAGGGAATTTCTTCTGATTGTGATAATAATCTTGCATTTTTTATTGTAGAGTTTCTTCTCATGATTATTATATCACAACTAGGTTTTCTTAAAATATTCTGTAATTACCTTTAAAAATTGATTTATTAAAAAAAATAAATTTTTATATCAATAATATATAAAAGCAAAAAATTGAGGAAGACAAAAAGGTAATATATATAATATACATTTATTTAACATTTAAATTTTAACATACATTAAAAAGGTATTCAATAATCCAATTAAAGAAAAATAATATAATATGACTAAAAAAATGAATACTACTATTTTTGTTATTTTGCAGTACCATGAATACTTAAATCACATCAGGAAAATGTTATAATTTCTATGTAGAAATGACAACACTTGTACTTATGTAAAAACTATATCATAAATTTGTTTATATGTGAAAATGTCATTTTATGTAATATAAAATAACAATTCGGAGAAGAAGAAATTTTTTATTTGCTATTTATGTAAAATATTAAATTATTGTAATTTTAATATAATAATGATGTAATTAATTTTTAAAAAAAATGAAAAATTGTGATAAATAAAATAAAAACTTAATTTATAAGATTAACTTTAAGAA